CTTTTTTTACCTTCTCGTTGCGGTAAAATAAAGAGAATCAGGAGGGAGCATGATACCAGACTAGTTTTCTTTTTCTTTGTATCAATATTGAATCAGAATTAAAATAATATAAGGTAAATGATGTCCCTGTTCTTGTATCGGTTCCCCTTCACATTACTGTCCCTGTTCCGTTGCCGTTTCCGGTTCCGGTTCCGCTTCCTGTTCCCATTCCCGTTCCTATTCCGGATTCCGGTTTCCTGCTTTTCCAGACGCCAACCATCGAACCATCGAACCAAAAAATCTCAAATGGATCAAGAATATGGTCTGCTGCCGGCTGATGCCCGGCAGCAATTCAACGAATTGAATATTGCTACATTTGGCTTGCCATACTCCTTCGAACAGTTATTTTACCGCAGAAAGTCGTCGCGTGTCCCTGAACCTAATTCAAAACTTTGAGTCAAACGTCGTTTAGCTTCGTTTCTGCCATTTTGCCCATCCTTTTGTAGAAAATTAAAATTCGGCACGGCAGAGGCACGACGTATAAACTTGACCGAAGTTTTCCTTTTGTTTCTCGATTACTACCTTCTATAGCTTACGTATTGTCACTGCTATTCTTGTGGATAACAGCGAGCTCAATTTGTGGTTTGACTCGGCCTCCATAAAGTTGGCAAACAACCTGCCGCAGTGCAAGATTGATGCGCCGAATAAAATGCTTATGTTATACAAGTTCTAATTATATTTTTTTAAGACATCATTCGAGTACCGTTTTTATCTTTTCAAAGCCTGAGACACGGCGACTACCGAACTCATTTCGTTTTTCAAACCAAATGCCAGAAAAAGGCTAGATCTGACAACTGAAGAGAAGCGAAACTAGCGGTGATCGTACTGACCTGTTCGTGAGCGCCCGAACTGCCAGAAAAAGACCAAAAAATTCAGTATTGTGACGCCAAAAATACACTTCCTCTGAATAAAATCGCAAAACCTTTACTTAACTAGAGATTTATCAACCACTTATAGCGAACAGAAACAGAAAAAATACCTACCGAGTTTTTGAACACGACCTTCCAACTTGATGTTAGCGTAGCCTGCGTAGCAAGCGTTTCCAATCGAGTGATTGCGCGAAAGTTAGAGCGGAAGCATAAAAAAAGTTGAACGGGGGAGGGGGGGGAGAAGAGGTTCCTTCGTTCCCCTCCCCCTCCCCCGTCATTTAGTTTTTTTTTTTGCTTTTGTCCCAGCTTTCTAGACGAACCTCGCGAGGAAACGCTTGCTACGCAGGCTAATGTTAGCGTGACACATTCGACAATTGGCCGAGGGGCGTGTTTGCACGAGAGTATGTGATTGTTTACCATTTACCAAAATTTTCCGGAAAATCCGGTTGGTACGGTAGCCCATAGAGGACACGCTACTTACATTTTCATATCGCGCGATAAATTGAGAATTATCGCGCGATAAATTCAAATTATCGCGCGATAAATCCAAATTATCGCGCGATAAACTGTGTTTTTATCGCGCGATATAAAAATGTAAGTAGCGTGTCCTCTATGGGCCACCGTAGGTTCGAAAGTGAATGGCACACGACTTTTTGTAGTTAAACGGGGAAGGGGAAGAGGGAATTTGGGCGCGCGAACGCCTGCCGCGCAGGCTAGATTTTTTGGGTCGTTCCATCAGAAAATTTCCGGGAGCACCGGAACATCTGAAAAAGTTGTTCTGTTTTTCCGGACGGAATATCCAAACGGAAATCCGTGATCCATTTCTTCAAAGCCATCTTTGATACCGGGTTAAGGCCTTCGCGGTCGTTTTTTGGTAAATTGAACTGATTTGTACAAATGGTAAACGCGATTCCGGAACGAAATTTACCAGTCCTAAATTTTGCGTACCATTTGCCCAGACCGTGGATCGACCGGCTTGCCCATCTATTAAAAATGTTACACAGGATATAAACACCGCTTGAGAATATTCCACGTGTATTTTGTTCATAAATTTCCTTAACTTTTACAACTCTCGAGTTCGTAACGCCGATTACTTTTCTTGCTTTTCTCGCACATGGTTTTTCTCTTACGTCATCAAAACGTCATATATGGTTTCCAGTCCTTAGGCGCACGGACGCCTGGCACTAAATACAAATGCTTTTAACAATGAAATTTCTATGCCTAACAAAAACATAAGCACGTTTTACGTGCATGAGCTATTTTGAAAGCTTCAGTGTAACAGTATCGGCAATTTTCTGTCTTAATCCTAAATTAAGGCTATGTTTTGTGCGAAATTGGGTATTGCTGCACATTAATGAAAACGAGAACCGCAGCGCATAGCTGATTCGATCTGATAAATTCACTTTTCTTTGTCTTTTCTTCAAACATCTGGTGCAAAATAAACAAATTGTTAAAGTACTATGAATACCAACTCACCAAACGTTGCTTAGAGGGAAGACTCGAAGGTTTCAAGGTTTCTTCATGGTTTCTTAAAATAATGAAGGTCGTTGAATACCGAATAGCTAAGATTTTCACAGACTGCAATTGCATACGTTATATTCGTTCGAATTACCCGCTTCTCCCATTCACGGGCAATTCCCATTGGCTAAATTTCGATGCAAGCTGTCAACAAGCTGTCAAGTAATGTTTCCAACAAGTCATTCGCGATATTCCGTACCGTCATGAATAGAGGATGTTAATTGCCTGGATTTGCTCGCGCAAGAATTGGGATTTGTTCTAAAATCGGAGCAGAGGGAAGGTTTGGAGTTGCTGCTCAGAGGAAAGGATGTTTTCTGTGTCCTACCAACAGGATTTGGCAAAGGCCCTATTTATCAGATATTTGTTCATGCAAAGAGTTCCTCAAGTTCCGTGCAACGACCGACAGTCAATGTTATCCGGCGCCTGCGTAAAAAAGGGGGATCGGTAGATAACACACGACTTTTACCTCATGCCAAAATACTGCTTGTTCCAATGAATTGTTTCCTTTGTCGGGTAGATTATGCTTTAGAGGAAAACGTTTTGACCGAGCAATTGTGAATTTTGGCCGCTTATTAAATATATATCATACTGAGAGGTCGTGACACGCATATTGATTTTCTCTGGTTGGCATGATTTGCCCTCTGATGCAAGAGCATTTTCTTTTTTGGCCTCTTTAGAAATGTAAAGTTCCTCATTACGGGATTTTCTTTGTGTCCATGAATGTGACTTTTTCCTGCAAGGTTTTGTCACGCTGGGCCCAGCTCTTTAGCGTTTTTAGCAGGATGTTTAAATTCTCACGGATAGTGATTTACTGAGCCAAATCACGAAGAAGTGGATTGGAATGAGGGGATTTACTCCTTCTTTTCAATCGCAATAATTGTTCATTGTCAGTTGGTGTATTCAGTTTTTCTCCAATGTGGGAAAGCATCGCAGTACAGTTTCTAACCTTTGTTCTGCACGGAGAGCAAACTCTTGTAGAGAAAGATTATCCTTCCTCGAGGACAACGAAAAGTTCGTTTTTCAGTAGGTCGGCCAGCTTTGGCAACGTTTCTCCTTTTCTGGTAGGCGCAAAAAACACACTTTCCGAGCTTATCCATCCACTCATAAAACTGCAGGACTTTGAAAATGAAGATATGGTCGTCGCAGTGAACGCAATTTTGCAATTGCGTAAAGAAGCCTGAAAAAAAAAAAAAAAAATCAGGACTTCCACGGGGTTTGAACCCGTGACCTCGCGATACCGGTGCGATGCTCTACCAACTGAGCTATGGAGCCACTGACGTTGGGAGCAGATAGGCAGGCTATTTGTACAGCTAGTACAGTAGACACAATATATTAGAAAAGTTCATCAACTCCAGATCACCAAGTGATTTAGGCGGCGTTTAGTCTCGCTTGCCCGATACGCGTGTTAAATATACGACCGGAAATACGTCTGCGGTCGCAGACTGTACACGTGTATAAATACACGAAAATCCAAGGGCCTCGATTGGAGAGAAATTACATCATTGCCAAAAATAAAAAACGTGATTTGCATGACGCGTCATTGCAATCATCGCCGACAAAAAAAACGCATGCTCATCACAAGACTCATTTGCATACAATGGAGCTGAGTTTTTGAACAACCCGACCAGTTAGCCCCACCATCAAAGTTTTGCTAATTAAGATTCTCTTTTTTTTTTTTTTTTGACCATTGGAGTGTTCACTTGTTCGAAAGTTATCAACTAATTCGTGGACGGACCCAGTCCGGAAAAGCTCTTAGTCGCATCAATCTTTCGACAGGTAGCCCAAGCTCGAAATATGAGCATCGGCAGACATCGGCATTGTTGCGTAACATTCGAAATATAAGGATTTGTATGGGAAAAAAAAACCTATCGTTTCTGTATCCTACGAAAATGAAAGGATTTCAATAAAAAAGAAACCTTTACATAGAGAGAAAACCGTTAACATAAAAACCCATAAAACGGCCATAAATCGGCCCGTGGACCACACAAGAGAGACGTAACACACCTTTTAAGTAAGATAAGCTGTTTTTTACTGAAATCCTTTCATTTTTGAGGTTACAGAAACGAAAGGTTTTTTTCCCATACAAATCCTTACATTTCGAATGTTACGCAACAATGCCGATGTTCGCCGATGTTCATATTTCGAGCTTGGGCTACCTGTAATCTATCCTAAGCTTTCTTCGCAAAACATGCGTGGCTTCGGTCACGCGACGACTCTTATTCCCAGTTTCCTCGGTCTCCGCTAGGAACGCCTGGGAGCATGACCCACCATTTGTGTCCAGAATAACTCTGACCACCATTTCATCAACAAATGAAACTCTGAAAATATGAAACGTAGTTAATAAATGATAAAAAACAATCAAGGGACCAAAATCCATTTACTGCATCAAAGTTCAGTATTTTCCACTGGAGCATTTTGACTACGGTAGCGGCTCATAACACTACTCACATACCTTATCGTAGTGCTGTGCGGCACGCTTTGCGTTTGTTGTTGAGCGTTTGCTTCACGAAAACTACACTGTAGTACACACGTACATTGTCTATTGTCTAACTCGTAAACCTTGCAGTTTTTTTAGGCCTTAGGCATTTCTTTACTTTTTTTACTACTGTACCCCCTCTTTAAAGGAGGAAAGTTAATAAGCCCCCCTCCTCCCTCCCCTCCATCCTTATTCTTCACAAACAATTAACGTGGACTGATCAGTTATGGTTTATTCAAGCTGAAAATTCATATTGTTTTTGGTCTTCTGCCGCATGACCTCCAACTTCATGTGCTTTATTGTTTCAACTTTGCGCTCTAGTTCTCTGTGGAGAATTGTTAACATTTTCTTATTATTAGAAAAAGCAGTATAACGCCCGGGAACCACAAGTCCGTCCTCGAGAAACCTTGCTCCCGTTGATGCGTTTTGCTAAATTACATAAGCCCCCCCTCCCCCCCTCGAAAGTGCTTGAAAAAAATAAGCCCCTATATTTAGTCAAATTAAACCTTTATATAAAACGCTTGTTTTTTAAAATACAATACATAAAAAACTATTAAATTAGGAAATTGAGAAATGTGAATAAATAAATCGATGTTGTAAGTTATTGTTGTTAACCCCATCTCTTAGCCGATGGTCATAAAAAGGAACCAAAATTCGAGCAACAGCCTTGAATACACTCCCTTCAAAAGATTAGAACTGCTCTTTCAAGCACTATAAAATACTTCAATTTTAAATTTTATTACTGAAACCCACAGATAGCGGAGGTCAGGGAAAACAAAACATTGACCCAGTCGAAAACTAAATAACCCCTACTAAACAAGCCAAGCCTACAGAATGCGATTAATTCGTGTTTTTTGCCTCTGTGATCTAACCGTTTTTCCCCTCGTACAGTCAGCAGAATAGGTTGATTCAGATAAGGCTATGTTACCATTCAATTAGCAGTCAAATAAGCAAGCATCCTTCTATCTCCTGTGAAACCAATTCGAGAATGCTGAACAGCCAGATTATCTAACACCAACAAATCACCATTTCTCCATTGGAATCCAACTGCACATTCCCAGGATTTTATTCGAATGTGTTGTATTGTTTCTGGTTCTATCACGCTGCCATCACCATAGTACACGTGACATGGGAACTTATCATCTGGGATTTCTTGGCCGTAAAATGTTGGCATCGCTTTGTAGTACGAACCATGGTGAGAATGTGCTTGATTGAACCAAATTTTCTCATTTGTCACCGGGTGCCGAATAAAGGCAGGCCTAACTTGCCAAAGGTACAGATCTCCATCTGAATCCCATGTGACATTGTAGCCTTGATCCTTTGCTCTTGGCTCAACATCCTACAAGGTTGATGGAAAAACCTGAATTAATTCAACTGAAGATAAAAACGCTTACTGTTCAGGAGCCCATACGGCCATACTCTCCATCAGCTTCTACCAAAGTGTTAGTCGCTCAGTCTAATTAAAGAATTTTCTTTCGGTCAAGTTCTTTTGTTCAACTCGGCAGTTGTGGAGGCTTCTTTGTTATCTCTTCAAAGGCTCTGCAACGATCTTTTCAACCTCGTTCCCAGGACTTTCTGCTTTGTTTCGGGCTTGGCCCAAAGCGAATGAAAACTGAGAGTGAGCTTGACTTTTCCTTCCCCATTTGACCCTCACTTTAATTTGGGAAAATCCTAACTTTGCATTGATTTGCCGAAAGTTAAGCAAATACAGTAGACTAAAAAATTTATTTAAGGCGTTGTGACCCAGATTAAATACGAAAATACCGCTCCAGGTGATGGGTTTCTGTATTCCGGTTTGTAATTACAACACAGACCCCAATGTTTTACCTCTCTGTCCTCAGTTGCAAATGCGTGTTGCCAGTTCATATACTCATGGCGAGTTTTATCAGGCAAATATCGTACATATCGGATCTGCTTCTCTTCAAACTTCTGCAGAATTCCGGGATCCAGTTTGGAAATAAGCTCGCTGTTTTTCACTAATGGTGTTTCCCCACCACAGCCATCTGCAGGCTCCTTCAAGCAGAAAAAGAAAACCTACACGAGAAGAAACAAAGTCAGATTATTTGTAGATGCTCAAGAGAAATAAGGCAGTGATAATGAGGGACATGTAAGAGATGTAGTACTTTTGCACGTAACGTTCATTTTTAATTCGCTAGCAGAAAAAAAGGAGGGAAACATTGTAAACTGGTGAAGACTCGTCACCCATTTCACACTAAACAGAGGCTAAGCTGGAAACTCACAAAAATATTTCAAACTTCGTTTTTACGTTTTTCAGTGTAAAAATTTAAATAAATAGTACTGTGCAAAAGTTCTGAGAAAATTGTTTCATATTTGAATTATAACACCATAGGAGTTTATCCACAGAAACAAAAACTCAGTATGACAAATCAACTCAACATAACTTGGGCGAGGAAGGAAATGGTTCAAAGGAGGTTGAGCATGTATTATCGAGTTATCAAAAAGTTAATTAGAGTATAAAGTGTATAACATAAATAAGCTGCAATGTTCACTTAGGGAATATCCTATAAATTATACGTTTAAATCTTTAAAAAAAGGCAGAAAAAAAACTCAAAACCTTACTAGAGAAGAAAAATTAACGGCAGAATAACAAGTCACAAGTATGTGGAATATGATGGTCCGGATTATAAGATTAAAGTCCTGAACAGAAGTACAATATTCAGAACTCTAGTCTACGAGCATCTGTAATCCTGATCGTAAAAGCAAAAAATCGTATTTCACATACTTTTGACATAGCTTCTGCATGGGTTGAAACCATTCAGTAGGTTATTTTACCCCTGTCCAGACTACAAACTCTTGCGTTCAAAGACGAAAAATTAATATATCCCGCGACTAAGAACCTGTTAGGCTAAAATTTGCCAGTTAGGACCCCCTCTGTACAAGAACCTGTTTAGCCTAAAATTTGAAACAGGTTCTAGTTATCTTCTAAAATCGCTAAGAAAATTCTATACACTTGGGCAAGTAAGGTAACATTCAGGGTCTTCTTTGGAGACATTGGTGCCTTATCACTCCAACTGTAATGTGCATTGGTATGCATGCAGGTTTTAGAGAAGGAATGAGCTGTACAGTTCTTGTCATTCACTATATGATCTTAATACTTTAAGCCACCATGATTGTTTTAATTCGAAAATAAGAATCTATTTCAGGAACCTTCATAGCCTAAAAATGTGCTAATTACCCCTTATGTAAGAACCTATTTAGGCTAGCTTGGGAAATGGCAGGTTCTTAGTCGGGGGGTTATGCTGTATTTCGAGGGTGTTAGTGACGGTCATTTTTCTATGAACATGGCGTCTGTCTTTTTTGTATGTAGTTATAGTTAGGGGTACAATTCGAAAGTTTGTGAGAGGTAAAATGAACGTTCGTCTGCTGGACAGTTCATGCTTCGGGCCTTTTCATCATCATCACCTTATGTGGAAAAAGTTCATTAAATGCCATTTCATTATGTGGCTCTATCGTATAACTTGGAGGATCAATGCTGGCAGTGTACGTCCCAACATCTTTATCTATTTGGGTACGGAATGCTGTTCCGCCCTCGTATGTCATCGTTTGTCCTTGGATTGCTTGGGCAATGGTTGAAAAGTCTTCTGCACTTTTAGCTGGGAGACCACGGAATAATATTGCGGGACTCCGAGAAAAATTTTCCTCCACATATTCCATGCATTTTGCAGTCAACTCGGCAAGAGAAGACTTTGTTGAGTCGTTTACTCGCACAGCGAGTGGGAATAGATCACGTGGCTCTGCCAAAAACTCAGGAAAGCCACCCCCTGTGGAGCCTGGGAGGAACTGCCTGTCTCTAAGCTTTGATTTGAATCTTGTTATCAGGTCCTTTCGAGGCAAAGGCTCAAAAATGTTGGCTGTGACTGTACTTGTGTTCAAATGCGAAGAGACAAGGTAAATAGGTATCCTGCTTGAACTTCTGAGGGCAGGTGAAAGCTTCCAAACTAACTGAAATGCACGAGCCGACATGATCTGTGGAGACAGATAANTCCACATATTCCATGCATTTTGCAGTCAACTCGGCAAGAGAAGACTTTGTTGAGTCGTTTACTCGCACAGCGAGTGGGAATAGATCACGTGGCTCTGCCAAAAACTCAGGAAAGCCACCCCCTGTGGAGCCTGGGAGGAACTGCCTGTCTCTAAGCTTTGATTTGAATCTTGTTATCAGGTCCTTTCGAGGCAAAGGCTCAAAAATGTTGGCTGTGACTGTACTTGTGTTCAAATGCGAAGAGACAAGGTAAATAGGTATCCTGCTTGAACTTCTGAGGGCAGGTGAAAGCTTCCAAACTAACTGAAATGCACGAGCCGACATGATCTGTGGAGACAGATAACAAAGTAAAAGATTTGCACGTTCTGACAAATAAAAATTATGGAAAATCTATAGTCGCATCGGTCACTGTGCAGTTCTTGTCATTCACTATATGATCTCCCCTCGTAACTCGCGAGATGATTCTTGTAGCGCGCATAGCCCTCCATACATCGGGTGTATATGGATACAAAAGTGTGACGAAAGGAGCGCTTGAGAGGTTTACCCTCTTAAAAGTTTCCCGTCGGGTTTCAAACCGAAAAAAGGTAAGGATTATTCTTGAAAGAGGGCCACCTGAAAAACGGTGTATAAATCAAGATAGCCCCAGCGTCGGACAAATCTCTACATGCAAAGGCGGAGAGGCTACTCTCCTTCTTTGAGTTTAATAGTCTTACCTGCTGACCGCCTAAAATACTGAATTTAACAAAGTTAACACGCCGTCCTAATAAAAACACTTAGCCCGTCTGGATTTCAATGAAAGTGTGTTTGTTAAATATTTCAGACTGAGAAAGAACCAAAACGTAGTATGAGACTATGCGAACGTCAGTAAATTCTACGCGCCTAAATAAATTAGGATATGTATGGAAGGTCGCGTGAAAACGTAAAAGTTGAACCTCGCTCAACTTGAATGTTTACCCGTCGGCCTAACATACATTTGCTCTATTTTATTTACGCACGTAAAAATTACGCCACAGTGCAAATCAACACGAGTAATTTTTTCGTGCGAACGTAAGTAAATTTTACTCGCGTAAATAAAAGAGAGGCAATAATTGGCCT